GGGAGAAGCAGGCTTCCCGCTGAGCAGGGAGCCCGATGTGGGGCTCAATCCCAGGACCCTGGGATCATGACCCGAGCCGAAGGCAGACGCTTAACGACTGAGCCACCCAAGCGCCCCTTAAAAAAAAAAGGCCAATTTAATCAACTATGATGTGTTTTTGTTTAGTAACAAACACAAGATTCTACCTAAGGATCTCAGAGAGTCACCTTTCTTCCAATACCACAGGTTGATACAGAAGGAGAGAGTCCTTTTAATTCCCGGGAAGGGGCACATCCTCAACTGGCGCTTCAGTCACCTGAGGCTCACAGGACGATGCACACATAACACGACTAACACGGGTTTGACTACTGAAGAACTGGGTGGATGGACCCATCCTAGTTTGTTTCTGAAATCTGTTAGCTTGGAAGTAATCTAGTACCTGTATCAAAGTACCTGAAGTTTTTAAAGAGAAGTTTACAAGTCAAATATCTACCATACAACCACCAGAAACAGGTAGATGTGGAAAGAAGAGTTAAGACAAAATTTTCAAATATCTAATAAGATGCACATGAAATTCAGTCATTACTCACCAGCATTTAAATGACATTCCTTAATCTGAAACTGAAGTTCATTTTCATTGGGAATATCCTTCCATGTGGCAAGGAAGACCTGGCGCTCTGTATAGGGAAGCAGAGGGAAAGGAAGGGTGTGCACAGTCTGTCGAAAGTCTGATTTCTGGTGCCTTACATAATTTCTCTTTTGGAGTTCTGGCTCTTATAACATATCCAGGAGCGGCCTGGAACTGGAGCCAATTCTCAGCTATGCAGAGGTGCTACACTCCACACCAATTAATCTCGTATTAGCAGCACTAAGATATACCGGGAGAAGTTGACATCTAGAGTTTAGTCTTGGCTCCACTGTTTTCCTATTTCATGACTTTGGGTAACTCTTGTGATCTTTCTGAGCCTTAATTTCATCATATGTAATTACATCTGTTCTGCCTACCCAAAGAGCCACTGTAAGAATCAAATCAATTAAGTGCCAATACAATTAATATGTACCAGTATAAGTGAGTTTTATTAGACGGTGGTTTCATAAGTAAGGGAAGAGAGAAACGTCAACAACCACATGGGGATTATTAATGTTTATTACAAATTATTGAATTCTTATTTTGAGACAGCAAGAACTTAGTACAGGGCTGGCTAAGTGCTCAATTTGCATATATTATCTCATCCAGCTTTTACAATAACTATTTCTGCTTTGCAAACTTGCAAGCGGAGACTCAGAAAAGTTAAGCACCTTGTCACAATCACACAGCGAATACACAGCCAAGGTGAGATTCAAATCCACATCTCCTTGTCACCAAACCACTTACTCTGTGCTGCAGTGACTGATTATTCAGATAACTGGCAATGTGATATAGAGACCAACAGCAAGGCAAGACCAACTGTGACTTACTTAAAAAGAAAACCTTTAAAAAAAAAAAAAAGGAACATTGGTGTTTCACAAGATGTTAAAAATAAGCATTTTGCAATTTTAAATTCCATGGTCCATAAATTCAGTTCACATTGAGTTAAACATGTTTCCTCAATGGCAGACTCCTCAGCTTTTATGTGCACTCACATGCAATGGCAACTTCTAGCAGAGGCCCATCACATGCTACATTTTTCAGCTTTAACTGACACAGAACCCCCTTTTATTCTTTGAAGGACAAGTGTTCTCAGGAGAGCAATACATGAAACGTTGCCATAGGACCAACTACCACAAGAGTGACTACAATGAAGGGTCTCTTCCAAGCTGGGTACGGAAGTTGCCTCTCTAACAGGATCTGCTCTGGTTCTCACCAGGAGCCACTCTGGATTCTACACCTGACAGCTTCCTGAAGCACAGCTTACACCTTGGAAGGCTACCCAAGCTCCTACACTCATGAAATGAGGTTTGTGGTAACTGACTGTGAACCTCAGAGAAGGCAGATAACACTGTCATCTACCTAGAATATGGCACCAAAAGCAGCTCAATTTGAGTATGATTTTTTGGTGAAAATGCAGCAAAAATGTAGATTTTAATAAACATGCATACATAACCAGTCAGGGTGAGAAACCTAGACCAAGAATATGTTAGGAAGAAGGCAGATGTGTGGTGTTCCTGAAGAGAATCAACTCAGTAGTTACTACAATGGAAATTATAGAAGACTATCTGCTCAGACACCTCTCCAAAGGCTCAGGAGAAGCCCCATAAGAGAAGATTTGTCTGAACACAGAGGATGAATACATCGCAGAGCCCCAAAGACAAAAGTTAAAAAGAAAAGGTTGGAATGAGAGGACCGTGAGTTTCTCCCCCTTCTCTGTAGTCCCATATTGCCTCTTCCTCCCAGTGAAACGCTCTAGGGACACTGGGATGGCAGCACGCCGAAAACCCCAGACGAGAACCACCAACACACAAGAAGAAAATAGATAAAAGAAAGAGAAAGTACTGACTAAGCACCAAGGCTCATTTTCATTCAAACTCAGAAAGCCGTGCACTAGTCTCAAAAAAGAGTGACTGGGACCAAGGCAGGACAATGCGGAGCTCAGGGCCCCTCCATTCCCGAGGAAACTTCGTGAAACAAGCCCTATCACTATCAAGCGCTAGGGATTGATAGCTACTATTTCTCCTCTTGGGTTACTGCTTTGATGTTCTATTATAGTAATAAAATGAACTACAGAAGGGTCTGGGCTTTGTAATGATGATTAAAGAGGTTAGTATCATCCTATGAAAGCTGACACAAGGCAAGTAAAAAAAGGCTATTTTTTTTTTTTT